GTGTGTGTGTGTGTGTGTGTGTGTGTGTGTGTGTGTGTGTGTGTGTGTGTGTTTGTGTGTGTTAATATATATTTTGGTGAGAAGGCCTTTGTAGATGGACCATAACCTTCTCTGAGAAATTCTATTCCTTTCAACTGTGCTGCAATTCTTTCTGTAAATTGTTTTGGACTCTAACCAATTTCAGGTACTGAATTGTTCAAGACTCCAAGAAGCATGGACTGAAACATATCTGTCTTATACAATTTACTGCCGAATATATCGAAAAAATAACATCTGACTGAATGCAGTGCTCCGAGCCTGCATTCCTKACACTTCTACTTTCAGCTGAGTTTTCAAAGTGTGCCGACATATACTTTTTTTTTTTTGCTTTAACTTCAGGTACGGTTCCTCCTGATTGAAATTATCGCTGCTGGCCAGCCTGAAGCTTTGATCCATGTGACTGAAGCTGTGGTTAATCWGGTTTATTCAGGAGAATTTACATCCAGATGCAGCACTATGAAGGAAAAAACAATCTCCACTCCTGTTTACTTCAGCTTTATTAATAAAGTACTTACAAGTGACTGACACAAGCTAAAAACTTTCATTTTATATCTTCGTCTAATTTGGCTGTGAGGCTTTATGAGGATAAAGATTTCTCATGTGGTATGGAGATTAAATCTTCTGACACACAAACTCAGTGATAATCAAATAAAAACAAAAAAGTGAACACCCAAACAGTAGGCAATATTTTAATTCTCTTCATAACATTTATGTTAAATGATTCGATGTGTTTCGATGTGTTCATAACAGACATATTGAGGCATTCTTGATGGTATTTTAAAGATAATTTCTTTTTTTAAGAAAATGGCAAAGAAACAAAAACAGACAGTGTTGTGAGCAAATTCATCCTCTGAAAATGGTGATGTGACAAAGTCATTAAAGTTTGAAAYAGATGATTTATGCCAGCAGATCAGTTTTTTATGTGTACCTTCTCAGGAAGCATTAAGCTGTTGAAGTACCACCATTCTGACTGATATTAAAACAGGAAGTTTACAACTTTTATGTTTGTCAGAAATCAAACAAGCTAGTATGACTGGTCCCTTAGATCTTCATGCATTGCTTTTGAGCTAATTTTGGTAAATTATAATATTAATCATTTAATATTATTATCATTAAAAATTTTCAAATTTTGATCTTCTTTGCTCCTATTAAGTGTTGTCACAGTTGGTATGCGACAGGACATACGCCAGGATGAGGGCAGAAATGCAGCTGAAGGCTAGGGTGTCATGATCCAAAGGACCCTTAGACCACGTAGATCGAGTAGGCCAGCCCTCCGAAGGAGGCAAACCCTGAATTTGGACAGAGTTTAGATCTGTATTTGAAACCAGTTGGTAAGAAAAAGTGCCAAAAGGTCAGGGAATTAGATTCAAGCCATCTAGGCCTTGATTTCAGTTATAAGAGTCACAATCTAATGGTGCCATTCTCCTCACCGATTATATTTTCAGAAACCATCAGGATTAAACTTCTCCCTTCAACCAGGGTTCGGGTAGCCTGGCCCTTGCAYTTCTGCTRGATTCTAATCTCCGTTCTTTGCTCTGTCTGGGATTTCTCCCATTGATYAGGATTTCTCWGGTAGAATTTCAARGGGGCCAATCAGCGAACAGGAGGAGGAGTTGTGAARGATGACCTGAATTTTCTGTGCTGTTTTAGCCTGCAGCTCTCATTTACAGCRACCTCGTTCGGCTCGGTACTTCTCTCCTCTCAGTAGGTTGTTTACAGCGCATGTAATTTCCYGTTAGCTTCTTAGCTTAGCTARCTATATGACTGAGCTGGCGCACTACGTCACAGCCAAATGTTAGTGATTGGGTTAAAWCAGATCCGATCATTTTAAACTTCAACAGAAGCCACACCTCCAGAAAGATATCATGTCTCAATAGCTGAGGGTCCAGACCCTCTGTATGGGCTGGTTTTCACCTGGATAGGGCTTGGGCTTAGGATAAAAACATGTTTATGCAAACGACAAAAGCTTAAAACAATCAATTTAAACTTACAATATTTCTACTGCCAGATTTAGATTTAAAACTCTACCTGTCTCTCGCTTCGTCCGTCATTACAAGAYAGAAAAAGCATCTTGGGATAGGGTGGGCTGASAACTATCCACCAGACCTGACTCTCAAATCGAGGGAGAAGGAGGACATGAGTATGACAGCATCTGATCCGACATGGCTTCATTCGTCTTTCTCCAAATACTGCACCAACCCCTGTCAGAACTCTGAGTTCTGAGACCCCCAAACTGAAACCGTGTTTCCAACACCTCCCATGAAGAACCTCAGAGATCTCTGTCCAGTTCTAAGATCCTAAACAGAACCCTCAAGCTTCCAATCSTCTGGTAAAGAATGTGGGTTTGAAGTGAAGGGGAACTGCCTAAATGGAAGAAAAAAGAGAGCTGGATGTTTTTTTTAATGGAGAAAACTAAATTATGTTACAGACCTTTCAATGAGACGTCAGGGAAATGTGACAACTCATTAAACACGATCAAACACATAAAAGACTCTTTTTTTGAGTCGTTTCTTTGTTCCTTTTTGTGGATTTTGTTCAATATTCGCTACATTATTATTTGATCCTTTATAATCCTGTTGTAGAATTATAATCCCATTGCTGTACTTTGTAATTTCTGCTGCTACAACTTTCTGCTCATATAACTCAAACTCCACCTACAGAACTCTCTCRGCTCGTCCTCCAGCGCTCGGTCGTCCCTCAGGATTTTAAGGAGGGAATTTTCCTCCCCGCTCTAATAAAGAGTTTATGATGCGTCGAGATGCTGTAGTTGTCAAAAATCTATTAAATTTCACAACAAACAAACACGTTTTTTGACAAATAAAATGGTTTCAAGACAAACAGAGGTGTCTTTAAAAACATTTCATGTTACTGCAATTCTAGTTAAGACTTAAACCTTTTCAGCCTGACGTGCTCTCAGAGCAAACATAAAGTAATTGTTTTGTTTTGTACTAAATAGTCAGCAGTGAGTGAGGCAACTTGTTCTATTTTCACTCATTGCAGAAGCTTGTTAGTGCTGTTTACACAAATTAAAGCAAGATGCCAAAACAAGATCATATTTATGCACATAAGATCACATCAGTGTTTTTAATTGAGCCCAACAAGCTCACAACCATTTCAACAGGTAYGTCATCAGATCCAGCCAAGGCTGGTGAATAAAACTGAAACCTTTTTCAGATTATTGTATGTTCATCAATTTTTCCCCCCTCATTATAAATAAACAGTACTTAGGGTAATTAA